CCCCCTCCCCCCCCTTTTATCTTTAAAGTAATGTGAAGAAGCCAATCCAAAAAACAAATTCCACTTTCCAAAGCTTATACAGGAAACCAACATTATCCCTGAGGATTTACCATTTTTAACCCTCATTTCCACCCATAACTCTATAAGCAAATGTGCCTACACTGAGTTTAGCTTAGATTTTGCTGCTTTTTGTCAGGACTGACAAAGGGGCTCCTGAGCCTTTGAAAGCTCATTTCTGCAGCTGTAACAGCAGGTTTAAATGGGAACGATTACCATTTTATAAAAAATCTAGCTTCTTCAATATGTAACTCTTTCAAAAAAGTTACACAAAAGCTTAACCAACCCTAGGTTTAAATTCAACCTTAGATTTAAATTCTGGAAAAGAAACATCTGCTGACATAATTCAGTATTATTTGTCCATTTTCTGTCATAAATTATGACTTTTACTTGCTTTGCATTTTGTTTCATGTCAACTGCAGTTTATCATTATTAATCACCATATATACTGTTAATTTGCACTCATAGAAACATAGAACTATATTAGCCTTAAAAGAAACAACAAAGAAACATTTCTGTTAAAAAATGACATAAACCACCTGCCTTTCTACTTAGTGCTCACAAGAGCTGGAAGAAAGATACTGACATACTGGACCTAATTTAGAAAAGGGGCAGAGAGATGGTTAGAGGGGTTGGAGCACAACAAGTATCGGCAGAGGCTGAAAGAACTGAGATTTCAGAGGATGACATAGGACAAATCACATTGATCATTAGGCTCAGTTTTACTCAGATTGTCCACCTGATCAACTCCCTTCAGTTTTCTTTGGTCTCGCCACCGAATGAATCCATATTTGTGAAAGAGAACATGATGTTTTCTGTTCAAAAACCCCAGGGGGGTTATATTTTATGGTGGTCAAGCAGTTTGCACAATCCTCATCCTTGGAAATACTGCCTCAGCAATGTCTTTTAAACAAGATGCTGGACTAGATGACCTCCACAGGTCCCTTCAAAACTAATCTGTTCTACAGTTCCTCCATTGAGTCTATCCTTTAAACACAGAATGAAGTGGCTGGTGCTCCTTTAACAAAATAGTTACCTGGAAATTCAATAATTTAAATTCATCCTTCCATTTTATTAGTTCTTTGTGTCAATATAGTCACTGAAAAAGAATGCATCAAAATCACAGAAGGAATCTAGAGGTCACTTTTAAAGGTCTCCTCCTTGAAGTGGGACTATTATCAATCAGGTTACCCATGCCTCTTTCTAGTCAATTCTTGAAAACCTCCAAGAATGAGAATTTCACAACCTTCCTGGATAAACTGTTCCAGTGCTACATAACCCTCAGTAATTTTTTTTTCCCCTAGTGTCCAACTCAAAATTCTCAAGCTGCCACTTGCAGCTCCTGTCCTTTATCACATCTTTTGCTACTATCAGAAAGGACCTGACTCCATCAACTACTCTTTGAAGTTGCTATAGGCTGCAATTGCATTTTTCTCTTAGCCTCTACTTTTTGCAGACTAAGACTCCATCTCTGTCAGTACATCCATAGATACCATCTGCTGTAAGTCTCTGTAGCCCTTCTCTGGATAGTCTCCAGTTTCTCCAGAACACTCTTGAATCAGGTCCTAAAACTGAACACCATTTCCAAGTGCAGTCTTACCAGCACTGAGGGACATAAAGGCTTTCCTCTGCTGATCATGCTCTTCATGATGTCTTACCTTGCAGCTGCATGGGCCAGTACGATCAATGCATGCAGCTCAGCAGGCAGTCTGCCTTATTTACAATAAGAGCACATGGTTGTCTTATATTCAGTTTGCTCCAAAGCCTGTGTGTGCTTTTCCGTAGGATTACCACTCAGCCTTTTTCCTCCCAAACTGTACTGATTCTAGGGGTTATGCCAGTCCAATTCATGACCTTCTTATTTTCCCAATCATCAGGATTTTCAAGGACCCTTTACACTGAAGTTCTCCTGTTCAGCATGTCAACCTCCTCCAAATCAGCAATATTCTGAAATCTGCTGATGGTGAATTCAGTCATCTGTGTCACTGATGAAAGTATTGGCTCTGGGGTACTCTGCCTGCTGGCTACCAACTGCATGTCAAACCACTGATTATTGCCCTTTAAGCCCAGCAATCCAGCCAATTTTCAAATCGCTTATGTGTGCTGTTCTTCCAAGAACAATTAGAAATAAGAATGCTGTGGCTGACGATGCCAAAAGTCTCTGCTTTAGTGATCCTGAATTGGATGCAGTCTACTCAGAAGTAGAGATACTCCTGCAGTGAATTCTACTCAGTAAATGATCAATACTGACTCCCTCTATGTCAATGTACTATAAAGAAGGAGCACTATGGCATGCTGTTATTACTGATGTGTTTGCTTTTAATTTGCTGAATATCTGAACAAGAATTGTGTTGCATGGGGTTAAATTGGCAACAGTTCTGCGAGAACAGGAAGAAATACAAAGTGAGAAGAGCGCCTAAGAGGATACTGTCCTGGCAAGCATCAGTGTATGAAAAAGCAACTGATAAACACTTAAATCTTTCTTTATGTTAGACTCCTCCCACAGCAGTTAGCAAATGCACTATGAAAACCAACTACATTTATTTGCATATGTTGTTGGAACAGGCAAGTATAAATGTCAGTGAATTTTGGAATAAAATCCTCAGCAGCTATAAAGATCAGCGTAGAACCTTCATTGTCCTACCTTGCAGCTGCATTGGCCAGTCTGATCAACGCATGAGCACTTCCCCAACTCTTCTGTATCACAGCTCTGTGGTTCAGTCCCTGCCAGGAAGCACTGACAACCGACACATTGTGGATAATTCCAGTAACCCAACCTGCATTCAGTGCATTTATCCCCAGAGAATTCAGGGCGGCAGAAGCAACAGCCTGTATGTAAGTCACACTGAGAACTCAGGGCTCCAATGAGGCTGCAGTCACAGGGCTAAAAAGGAAAGAAGCAGGGAGAAAACTGCAATTGTGCTTCTGAGAAAAAGAAAAAAAATCCCCAAACCAAACAAAACCCAAAACCCACACTAAAAAGCAACTCATCTCTTTCAAGTATCTATAAATAAAGTACAGCAGTGAATTTCCACTGTCTGAAGGTAACATATCTCAATTATAAGGACAGACATTTAATTTTATTCAATAAAGGTCAAGCAATTATACTAAATACACTTAAAACATTGTTTCCTTTTTAAACAGGCATTACGTATCACTAATAAGTTAGGCAGTGTTGTGGTTTAACCCAGCAGGCAGGAAAACACCACACAGTTGTTTGCTTACTCCTCCCCATTGAGATGGGGGAGAGAAGTGGGGAAAAAGAGAAAGTTAAAACTTGTGGGTTGAGGTTAAGACAATTTAACAGGACAGAAAAGGAGTGGAAGATAATAATGATAAAAGAATACACAAAACAAGTGATGCACAATGCAATCGCTCACCACCCACTGACTGATGCCCAGCCAGCCCCTGAGCAATCACCATCAACCCCCGACCAACCCCCTCTCAGTTTTATCATTATGTTTGTTATGTTTATAATGTCATATGGTATAGAATATGTTTATGTTATGTTTATGATGTCATATTGTGTAGAATATCCCTTTTGACAGTTTGGGTCAGCTGTCCTGGCTGTGTCCCCTCCCAGCTTCTTGTGTTTCCCCAGCCTACTCACTGGCAGGGCAGTATGAAAAGTTGAAAAGTCCCTCACTTAGTGTAAGCACTGCTCAGCAACAACTAAAACATCAGTGTTTTATCAACATCATTCTCATCCTAAGTCCAGAACACAGTACTATACCAGCTATTAGGAAGAAAATTAACTCCAACCCAGCTGAAACCCAGACAGGTACTGAAATCAAATAAATCCAAAAGGTGCAAGACAATGGGATACTTTGCGAATGAAATTATGTTAAAAAACAGTAAGCGTTCTCTACAAAGTGCTTTCTCTGTAAATTCCCTGCAGGGCATGTTTATACCACTTTGCCAAAACTGGAATTGCTCAAGGGCAGTGGTCCCAGAAGAATCTAGTTCGATGCTTATTACTCATCCATCAGAGAGGTAACTATCTGCTTTGTACAAATAGGACTCTTAGATGACAGTAATTTACACAGTAAGGGATAGAGATTTAGTCATGTTGCGTACTGGGAAGTAAACTTGCTCACAGAATGAGACTTGCGCAGGCAGGTAAGGATAGAAATAGGTGATTTGCCAGGGGGTCTAGATATTGAGTGCAGAAGTAAGTAGCAGGGAAAGCTGCAGGCTTCCAAAGAACAGAAGAATCCCTCAGTGCTATTACTGTGGCTGTACTGCAAAGTCAGCACAGGACATTTGCTGTGATCATTGCCGTGACCAGCATCTCATATGGAGAAGTTCAGCTTTTAGAAGCAAACTCAGTGCCAGTAGTACAGGTTACCACAGTAACTGACATGGATAGACTTGCTAAAATTAAAGACACAAAGCCAAAAAAAAGGAGGAAAATGTGGTTTCAGTCTCTAAGCAAAACTGTTTATAACATAAATAGTTAATGGACCTTTCTTCTGATCTGAACAGACCATTTATAAAGAAGGTGATTATTTAAAGGAAACATTCAAATTCAATCTTTACTGAATGCTAGAAAAACTATTTAACTAGTGGTTAAATACTAGACTACTACCTAACCTAAGAAATAAAGCCTTCTGACAGAAATAAACTTATTCTACAAGATTTATTTGAACATAAAGCTTAGAAAGCAAATCGATTGCTATACATTGAAATAGCTTGGTATGCAAGATCAAAACCTAAATTACAATGAAATGTTATGTTTGTTTTGCAAGCAAGCAGTTTTACACCACGGTCTCTACACCCCTGAGTTACAACAGCCCTGGAAATCTTCTACAAAGAGTGCGAGCAGGAGATTCACGTCCCGTTTTGCAGAAATTAGCTGCAATGTACTGAAAGAGATGTGGGCTGATAGATCATTATTAATTTAGATGGTGCCATGAAACTGCCATACTAATGCACTAACATAAAAGACAATCAGAGAATATATACTCCAGAGCTCAAACAGAGGTCTTCAACCTCATTAGGCCGCTTTCAGAAGCCAAGAGTTTATATCACAGGAGCACAGCAGAGGTTTCACAAGAGGAGTTTTCCATACATATAAAAAAGGAATCATACTTGATAATTAGTTTGCAGCCTGAGCTACATGACAAACAGCCTTTTAAGAAAGAGCATGAATGCTATATGGCCATATAGCATATATGGCCATCGTGGTCTTCAGACAAGACATAGCTTTTTGGAGTAACTGCAGCAGTACTGTAACTCCCTCATCATCAATGAGAACGGCAGAGAGAAGGCATTTGAACCTTGCACAATATTCATTGTCACCAGTTTACAACCTTAACCTAATACTGTTCCCCTTAACCCAAGAGTAGGACATTAACAACAGCTTTCATGGCCTCTTTGACATACTGCCATTGTTTTCCTTCTTCCTTCCCCTTCTGATTTTTTTTTTAACTGTGTCGAACACTGGAATAAGAAGGATTTAAAGGCTAATGAGAAGGTTCATTTCCCCTTTAAGAACACAGGAAAAAAGTGCATTTTACAGCTTGGGTGGCCGTTTCTTTTATTCCCTCTTCACTGTCCTTTATGCACAAGTTCAAACCCTTCTCAAGTAAACTTCAAGTACAAATTCCCAGTGGTATCACAATTAGGGCCAAAGTAAATTTCTTCCACAAAGGCACTGTCACTGATCACCAACATTTACATCACAGTCTGACACCAAAATCCACAATGCAGAGACAAACCAAGACTTAGAAACCTAAAATTATGTCCCAGCTACAAATTAATGTATTTACCTCATGGGGAAGAGCTAGCACATGAAGAGAAAATAGAGATACACTCACCTTGCAGCCAGTGACAATGTTATGGCCCCAGTAATTTGGTGCACACTTGTCACACATCTCTCCAACAGTATTGGGAGGGCAGATACAGCGGCCACTGATGGGATCACAGTTATTACCAAAACGTGAACACTCACAGGCTTCATGGGAACAGAAAAAAATAAAGCAGAGAAAAAGTTACCCCTTTATGTGACACCTGGAGAGCAGACCCTAACAGGGTTAGGATCGTTCCACCAAAGCCTTTACCGTACAGCAAAACCAGTTATTTGGTGGAGACAGTGGGGCCCAAAACGTAGGTTAAGCCCAGAGAAACCAAAACCAGGAGCAATGCAGCACAGGTTAAACTGAGGCTGAAGGAATCGCAATGAGAACAGAATGGGAAGAATAAAGGCGCTGCCTGTAGAAGTGCAGACATGCCTGAGATGTTGCACTCGTGTCATGGCTGCAGGAGTATCGCTGTACACTTGCTGGGATGATACAGTCTCATGCAAGAAGCCACCTGACTGCATCTAAGCCCTCTAGGCAGGGAACCTGCAGTTTATTTAACTTCTTCCACCAATCTGAGCCAACCTCCTGAAATTTCTGCTGCTGTGAACAGACCTTTCTTAAAGGGAAAAAAAGGTGTTTCAGTTTCTTTTTCCCATCCTATTCCTTTTTTCCTCGATTACACGTATTCTGCCTTGGGAGAACACCAACAACGCCCATCTTCACAGTGAACTGGGTTTCTTTCCAGATTTTATTCAATTAAAAATACTTGGCTTTTCGAAGTGGTTCCAAAAGTGGCTTTGCTCTTAAAGCATTAAGGGAACAACTCCTCAGCAGCAAATGGAGATTCTAGGTATGTAAGCGATAAGCTGTTATGGGGCACAAGACACCTAATTGCCTGGAGGAGCAGAACTGGTGCGTGGTGATTTTCATAGGCACTGTCCATGTTACATGACTTGGTGATACTTTGTTCCTCGGGCTGTTTAAAGGGCAGCGTAACATAATGTTCATTGCCTTTACTGTATGAAATACTGGAGTCAAAGTAGATAACGAGATGTGCGAAGACAGGACTTATATCTAAGGTTCAAATAAGAAGTGACCTTTATTTTTCCCCATCAATGATTTGAAAATAAGGTAACCAATGCAAAGAAGGTAGTAAGTTTTGCCTCCATCCCACCAGGAGCAAGACGTTCGGCACGCTACATAAAACTCTTGTTTACACTGTGGCTTAAAGATGTTTCAGAATACACCTCTCATTGGGAGGTTGAGGCTTTTGGATGTGACAGCTGTTTCTATGGGCTTCCAGTTCTTACACTAAAGTGGTTCAAATGGCATGGAGGGGAAGAAAGTGATACAGCAATTGTTTTTGTGGTTTTACTTTCATAATTAAAAAGAATATGGAAAAGATACAACATATTTGTTGCAAGCAATAGTGGAATAGAAATCTCTTTTGTATCTTTGCTGCTACAATGTCAACACTAACTGATGATGCTTGAGGGGATTTTTTTTTTAGGCTTTATGGTTTTTTATTGGACAAGAAAAAAATCAAATTATATTCTTTTTGGATAAATGCTAGATAAAAGAGGTCCAATATTTTATTCGATACTTAACTGTCACTACGGAATTCATTTCTGTGCACTCTCTTCCTAGCGTGATTTGATACACTTTTATTAAATTTCTGATTTTCTGTGATTTATAATTTAATTCTTCTTTTTGTCATTTGAAGGAATACATAAAAGCCTACTAAAAATAAGTGGGGAAAAAACAGCATTTTGAAAACAGAATTCCTCTGTCTGTTGTATGAACTCTGGAACTTCTAAAAATCTGAATTTTCTGAACATTTTTAGCTGTCGCAGTTGTTTAAAATATTGGATGACCACAGGCAGATACACTTATTTAAAACATTGTTTGGATTTACACTATGTCTTCATTTCATTACTGTTCCTTCAACTCTGTCATTTCATGTCTGCCAAGAGAGCAGTGATATGAAATCTTGTTAACTGCTCTCCCATTTTCCTTCCCCAACCATATGAAATTAAAAACATTTTGTAGTATTTCACAGTGGTGATGTGCTTTTAAACTGTGAAAAGTTAGAATAAGAGAGAATGATGAAGATAAACTATAGCATTTTTTTCCCTCCATATATATTTTAGGGGTTTTAGGCCTCCAGATAACACGTGCATTTTATTTCAAGGTCTGTCTTCAAGTGAGCCCGTGACCCAAGCTTTCCCTTTCTCAAGGTGCCAACATGTTTGAACTTTTCAAGGTGGTAAACATTTTCTGAGCCTTTCCTTCCTATATGGGAGACAATACCAAAGAGCAATTTTTAAAAATATGCTCTATAATCCAGCCGGGCTCAAAGGAGATCAGCATTACTACTACTAATTGAATTTCACTGCACAGATGTGGATCTCAAGGCCCTGATACTCCTTCCATAAGGAAAAAAAAAAGGGGAGTTAAATAAGGCAGAGAGCTAGGCTTGCTGCTTCTGCTGCCATTACAGGTGGGAAGGGAAGAGGAATAGGATTGCTTGGCATGGTGACTTCTGCTTCTGGGAAGAATACAGCTTCTGCCTGAAGAATAGTACCAGCAATACTGTTGGCTTTCTAGCACTCTGCCATCAGTAACAAATGCTGCAGAGCCATCACCGTTCTGGTGTCCCAGCAGCCAGCCACACTCAACAACTATCTACATCTACCATGATCACACCTAAAAGAGTTCATGAGACTTCAAAAATATAGTTCTGTGGCAAAGATGGGATATTTTCCCGTGAAGAGACATATGGATTAAGTTCTTTTTGATCTAGGTGTTTGTACTGCTTTAAGGATAGGAAGCATTCATTTCAGTGTTTGACCTAACGTCCAAAAAGGCAAACATAAACGTAAAGAAGTGGCTGGAAATATTTATGTCTGGTGCTAGAGTTTCAGCATGTAGAAAAGCATACTTCTGATGTGTTTACACAAGGGACATAGTAGAGAATTTTATCTGAAGATCTTGTACACAAAAAGTATACAAGTAAGCAAGATTCTAAATATTACTGTGTAGAAAATTGATTAAAAAGGATCAACCATGTCAAGACAGTGAAAAGGTTTGGGATAGAACTAGAAGCAAAGGGAATTTTCTTTTTCTTTATTTTTCCATTCCCATTCCTTCAAGCTAATGAGATTTGGCAAGCACCTTAATCAGCCTTCTATGGCATTCTTACCATAACTAAATTACAGGAACTTCATAGGCACTCTTTTGGCAGAAAGTACTTGGAGAAAAGGACATTCCTGTTTCTTCTAAACATGGTAGACTAGCCATAAACTGACCTTAAAATAGCATTAATTGCTTGGGCCTTTTGTTCTCACCAATCACCATCCTTGCCAACTGACTGATTTACAGGTCTGTATATGGAAATACCTACCTATGAGGAAAATTTTTTAGGCAATCCAAGCCCAGCCAAACTAGAATCTTAGTAATAAATCAATAAACAAACAAATAAATATGCAATAGGCTGCAAAGAATTTACATACGAGTACAGCCTCCTTCTTCAAAGTTGTAAAATCCATGAGCACAACGGTCACACTTCTTCCCTGTCACTCCAGGCTGGCAATAACACTGTCCATCTCCATCACAGTCAAATGACTTGGAACCAAAAGAGTTGCAGTTGCAGGGAACACATCCTCTTGAAGACTGTAAGCCAAATGTTTCAGGCTGCCGCAGAGAAAGGAAGAGCAGTTAGCACGTTGAATGATTACCAGGAGAAAATAGTCAAAAATGAGTGTAGGTAAATCAGGGTGGTTCTTTCCTCTTCATCACTGAAATATTACTCTTAACAGATTGAATCGTAGTGGTAAAACACTGGAGTAAGGACACTAAACACAGCTGAAAAATAATACAAATTTCAGGATATTACCTGATGTTATAATGAATGTTCTGCGATGTTCTAATTTCCTATGAGGTTGTGTTTCCATAAGCAGAATTCCCACAAGAAATGGAATGTGTGTCAGTGCCATATACATGTCCTGTGTCTGAGCTTTAAGATTATGTCAGCCAGAGTTTGTTGTTAAGAGAGTGAATTCAAATTCTTAGCTATGAATGGACATTGATTCAACTGGAAAGTCTCTCAATAACTAGATTTTTATCTCCTCTGACCAAGGGCAATGACTGTATACAGTATAACTCGAGGGCATTTCTTCTGAATACTTAGAAATAACTTTAGAAGAGCATATATATTACATATTTCTGTACATTAGAAGCAAATACTGGGAATTGTCTATTTTTAATATAAAAGCTATGTCTTTTAGTTTGGTCTAAGACTAAGACAGATGTAATCAATGACCCTCTGTTTCTCTTGTACTTTCATTCTTTATTTTCACTTTTTGCACTGAGTACTGTAAAGTTCCTATAGAATCAGAATATATGTTATCAACTATAGTAATAAATTTCCTCCTTAATGCCACTAGTGGAGTGAAAAATGTATACTTGTAAAGAAAGGCATGGAGATACTCATTTGTACATTGTAATATTCTGCACAAAGCTTTTAACCAACATACCCGATGGATTTCACTGCACCAGCGAACAGTGGCCCCTAGGAGCAAACTGTACTTGATATTCAAATTGTGAACCATCTTGAGCTAGAGTGACTTAAAATGGGAGTATTTTTCCATCTTTTTTTCAGGTATGATGATTTTCAGAGAACACTGAGATCCACATCATATAATTAACTTCACTTGAAATTGGTATTACAACACTGAATAGTAAAAATCTATTAGAGACTTTGCTAGAAAAGCAAATTGTTAAAAATGACATATTAAAAAGATCACTGCTAATAAATATAAATAGAACAAATGTACTTTTACAAAATTCATTTACAAAATGAACTTTTACAATGTACTACCATGTGACTCAGGCATGTGGTATTAGATTTTTACCTACTATACACCAGTACAGATTTTTCAAGTCAGTGGAGCTGCACTGACTTACATTCTACATGGATTTGTTCCACATTGGAACCTCTAACCCCTTGTTAGGTGTATTCTCAGAGACTTCAGCAGGTTTCCATGTAAAAGCCCTGAAATCTAATCTCTGAGATTAATACTGAAGTTCCACATTCTCATGGAGAATCTGCTGCTAGGTATCAGAACACAAGACTACATCTAGGGTCAGAATTTGGCCCAAAGAATTATATGAACCTAAGCAAATGCTTGATTATACCTATAATAAAGAATTAGTCTCATTTTCATTTGCAAATTCTACAATGAAATGTTTTGCCAATTACATACTTCTGCATGACAAAACATGGTGTATCAGAGAGAAAGAAATACTCAAACTCATGTAATTAAACTCCGAAGTTCCATTAAATATATAGAACATCTCTTAAGATTTCCTTTCCACAGGAAGAAACACACAGAAATGTGAATATGCAAAAATCTCAGGACAGCCATTCAGATTAATGCAGTGAAGTAACCAATGCACAGCATGCAGCTCAGTTCTCAACAGAAACTTTGATAGGATCCAATAAATTATGGTTATAAGGGTGAAAGCCAGAAAAAGTCTAAGACACTATCACTCCACACTGCATGAAGGAAGAAAAGATCACTGGCATGCTGGGTTGTATTCTGTGACGAGCTCCACACTGTGAAAGACATCTGGATCAGTCATGCAAACCTCCAAGATGAACCCCCAAGTCGATCCCTGAGTGAAGCTGGTTTACACACATAGATTCTAAGAATCACATTTATTGATCAAGAGATAAAACCTGGATGACGATGAGGAAGTACAAAAATCTTCTGAATATGTCATTATATTGTGTCCCTTTATCAGTGTATGTTGAGTGTTTGTGTGGGCAATACTGTCACATAAGATATGCTAAATGGGTAAAAGCTCATGTTCTCCAAGGGAATCCATAACAACAAACATGGCATGGGTCCCAGAGTCTGGCTGAGGAGGAGAAAACGCTGCCAGGTATTTTTCAAACTGGTGTGATAAGTGTGGAGGATTTTAGGGGAAAAACCCAACATTCCTAAAACACTGCTCTGTTAGAAGCACCTGCATAATTGCTTCATTTTATGAAATACATTGTTTTGTTGGTATGTGATAAAACAATGAATGCTTCTGTCATTTTGGGTATTACATTCAAATAATGGGCACTTCACCTCATTAAAAATGGCCATATTCACTAATGAGAACTTTTAACACCAGTTATGTTTGATATTTCAGGATCAGATCTTAACGCTTTGCCTCTAGGGCTGGTTCTTCTCGCAAAATCCTGAAGCTCCTGGTTCTTGAATTGTTATAAGAGGAAATCTTACCCTGATGAAGGCCATGAAAACCCCACTGATGTATGTACATCACCCAAACATTTTGTGCATGCTGCTGTTGGGCTTGTTCTGGTATTTCACTTCTGGACTATTTTTGTCATTTGCACTATGAGAAGCCCTAGGAGTGGAGAAGTATCCTACAAGCCTGCCTGTCCTCCTGAGTGTGTCTGCTTCTTGGTGATTTCGTATATTGTAGCACATGTATCTAAGATTTAAAAAAGCAAGCCTGTGGGAGCTCCAAACACAAGCAAATATGAGATTCCAGCCCATGCAATGCACACAGTTTCTGATTACCGGAGTAGCAGGCCGGTAAGCACCCCGTGGGCACCCACTGGCACTGCTGACGCCCCATCTCCGAGGGGGGACTCGGATCTGCTGACTGCTTCGTGCATTTTCTTTCAATTTAGGCACCTGTCTGCTGATTTCACAGCGTCTGCCCTTGAATCCTGATTTGCAGATACATCTTCCTGACTTATCACACTGCAGTGACATGGATCCTAAAGCGCTGCAGCCACAGGGTATACAAAACAGCTTTTCTGGGGCCCAGAAGTAGCTGGGCTTTAAAAATGAAAAGTAAACACAGTTAGAAAGTGAGGATAAAGAAACTAGAGCAAATAAAAGAACACAGGAATAAAGGCAGTAGTAAACACAGTAGTAAGCAAGGATTAATTCCAACCAACTGGCAATATTACATCAACAAGCTTGACATATTTTCTGTGTCAGTTATGGAATCTATGCAAATTCCATAGATACCAACTTTTTTTTTTAACAGAGTCTTTAAATACTGTTGAAAATACAGTGTGAGCAAACCTCTTCAGAAATTACACAGTTTACACAGGGCGAAAACGATCCTTGTGATTTCTGCAGAATTATGTGCTTTAAATTACACACACACAGAGGTGTTTTGAGGACACAAGGCTCAAGCTGAGCTACAGAAACATGAAGCTAGCTATAGCATATTCCTTAGCAGCCTAAAGAAAACTCTGTGAAAGTGTATGAGACACATTTTTGCAGTGATTTATGAGACAGCAAAACAGCAGTGAGGCAAAAGACACTTTCTCCAAAAAAGAATACATTATTTGGACAATACAAGAAGAACCCCTAAGAAAAAGAATTGTAAAACCAGAACATTCACAGCAGAAGTAAACTAGCAACCTGCTTTTTTTTTTTAAATCAATGCTATCAGATATTTTGCAACTCTTTTAGAGGGGTTTTTCCCAAGAGCTGCAATAATTTAACTTATTTATAACAAGCATTCAGAATATAAAGTGTGCATACCACACATAAATGTACTTGTATGTACAGTTAGGCTTAATATATATTTACATGCAACACTCTGTGTTTTGTTCCAGAAAATCTTTGGAACACATTTTAAACACAGCCATTTTACCATTCTGTCCGTAAGAACAACCCATATATATTCTTACAATGAAAAATTAGCAAAAAAGAAAAACTATCCAAACCCAAACTGTATTTAATTATGAGAAACAGGGAAGAAAAGTGAAAGAAAACATCATTTCTTATCACTCACCTGGCAGATGTTGCACCGGCGTCCAATCACGTTGGCTTTACACTCACACTGGCCTGTCCGAGAGTCACAGATCTGCGAGAAGGAGCCATTGACGTGACAGTGGCAGGCTGCGGAGGAAGAAAGAGCTGTCAGTGTATTTTGTAAAATACACATGCTGCTGAAACTATCTTTAATAGACAGATGTTTACAGCATGGCTTTTGCCACCCTGAGAAAGCCAAGAAGGGAGGCCTGAGTAAAGCAGGAAGGTGTTACTCCCATACAGTGACAACAGATATTAACCTACCCATATTAATGAGGAATTTTGCTCCAAATTATTACCGTAAGAAATTTTGCCTCCATTTCATAAGCAATTTGTTTTATATGTACCTCTCAGACCAAAAGAGAATGTTTAGGGCACATTACTGAGTATGTGATGATGGAGAAATAAGGCTTTAAAGCAGAAATTACTTTGCCTTTATTTTTTAATTAGTGCCAAATTTCTGGACCAAGGGTGTGGTAGAGTAAGCAGGGTTCTCTCCCTCTCAGAAGCTGCTCTCTCAGAACAGCCTGGCTATTGCCCCAAAACTTGGAGGCGGACCTGAGATTTAAAAAAAAAAAATAAAAATAAGGGTACATACCCTTACACGGGGTGTGTGGGGGATTCAGGTATGGGAGGGGTGAGTGCTACTGCTGGTCTTCCTACCCCGGGGTCCAGTCTGTGTTAGCTAATGTGGTAGGCAGGAAGCGTTGGCAGGCTGAGGACCCAGAATAATGCTACCTTCAGGAAAGTCGTTTTGGGGCAGTAACCTCCACAACCCCAAAAAGCTCCTCACCCTGGGGTATAGCTGAAAAAGAAACTGAGGTCCCATGACTTTCTGACACCTCTGTCTCAGCAACAGCATCAGGGTTCCCAGGGGAAACATAACCCAACTCACTAGTCTAACTCATCACAACACTTTCTTAAGCATTTAAAATGGCAACAAAAAGGAAATGAGATTTCTTAAGGAAAATAACAAAGCTTTTGTTTCTAAGTTCTCATGTTTTAGAAGAGAATTTTTTGGGAAGGTTTCTATCATCCTCCATGTTCTTTGACCACTATTCTTCTGGCATGCAGAGATTAGGATAACATCTCTTCAGTATTGACAGTAGACAGGGATGTCATCAGGTGCCCATGCAGTCACCAATTCCATCAGCATGAGATCGTTATTGCATGTCCTTTCTTTTTTTTTTACCCCAGATGGGAATGAATCCACCTCTCTATATTGATTATCAATGCACTCTGAAAACCAAGGCTCCCATCCACATTTTGCCTTCCTGTAGTGCCCTGACTACACGTGTTGGTCTTTTTCTCAATGTGACAGCTTCATTTTAAGAAACGCTGAAAGAGTCCCAACAGTGAACACATGGTGGTCACATACTTGCATGTCACAAGGTGCCATTTGAGACAAAACAGTTATATATCTTCTATATTAGACTATTACAACACAATCTTCCTCATTACTTTATTGGACTTGCTCCATTGTAAATGAAAAGGACTGTTCGGTTCTTCTCACTTTTGAGGGGTTCTGCAAAAGTTACTTCTTTTAAATATAAGTGACTTTATGGCTTGTCAGTCTGTTCATTGCCTTGTTTCTTAAATATTTGCAAAGATGTCTCATATTCTGGAATAAGTAACAAAAATATCTTGGTCTCATCAGTCTGGTAACAGCTTCAGAGGTTTTGATCTCTTTCTATTTTGCAATATATTAAAAAAAGCAAACACTTAAAAACACTTCTGCTGTAATTAACATTGCTTCTCTTTTCCTTTTACTCTCATTTTTCAACACTAACTGAATCCATAATTTACCTCTTTCATTCTGCATAAAGCCCTCCAACAGTAATATTTATGTTTTAAAACTGCTGACATTCCAAACCTTACAGAGTGACGAGTATCACATATATATGTTTTGAGTATCTTTCTATTTAAAATGGTCAGCAGCGAAGGATAACGTGTTAGCCCAAACTCATAAAACCACAATTCTCAATGCAGATTAACAGTATTTCACCAGCCCTTTCATACAGAGGCCAAAAAACAAAGCCTGTCTTACTTGGATCATTTTGCTTATCAGGCATATGACACCACAAGAATCAAAAAGAAAATTTACACTGATTTTATAAACAGAGGAGTTTGTCCTATTTATATTACACACTACCACAATGGCATATCATGTATTCTTAACTCAGCCACAGATGACCCTGTGCAGTGGTAAAAGCAGAATTTGGAGGTCAGTACTCTGTTTTTCTTAGCCCTAGCAGTATACAGAACAAATATACCGTCAGGGCTGTATTCATGTACTAAGCTGTTACTCAATTGCATTTATGTCACCTGAAGTCTTTCAATTCATTCACCTCTACTGGGAAAATCAGCTATTGCCCAAGCCTCCAAACGGTTGCTATAGTATAATACTGCCCGGCAGTGAAATTTGCATTACTTTCTCCCAAAATGACACTGGTCAAGATCCTTCTCTATTTGTATAAATATATGTGCATGTCTATTCATAATCAACCTATTCACCTCCAACAGCAGTACCTATGCACTGTCCCATAGGCACACTTGAATATTTGCTTTAATTCACCTCATGTCACTTAGCTCTACCACCATCAGCACAACCTGCAGGTATTGGCTTCAGTACACTATGCTGTTTCACCCCCAAAAAAACCCTACTAGAATCACATCAAAATAAGCCCAGGACATTTGTGCAGTGTTCTTAGATGTACTCTTTTATATGCATACACCAAGATATCGAGACGCTCTAGCGATAGAAAGTTGTCCTGTCGTTTGAGATGGTTAATGCACATGACAACAGCACCATACTGAGAGAGAGCAAGAAACATTTCAGACAATAATTTGAAAGCAAAATTAATGCTTTGCAATACCCTTGGATTTGGCTTTTTAATAAGGAACGAAATTGAAAACAACAAAGTAAAGGCACAGTCCCTCTGATATTGTAGCTGCAGGGCAAACTTCATGGAAGTCTGCAAAGGAAATAAAAAATTGTATGCAAAAAAAGAAAACCCACATGAAAGAGTAGATGAATACAAGGTAACTGTGAGCACAAGGCTATGCATACATTAGGGGGCTCTCCTTGTCAGTGGTACAAACAACAAAAGCAAAGCTTCTAATTCTACATTAAATATGTATTTATTTTTAATATTTTTATTTAATTGTATGCTTTCTGAAATCTCTTGATATTACATCTCTTCCCCATAAAGCTGCCACTATTGTAGAAATGTTCAAAGCAACAGTCCTCTCGATGCCTCAGGAATGGTGACAAGCTATCATTTTTGAAATACATTTCCTTTTTACATCACATTACACACTTGACACCCTAACTTATATGGCACCATTCATCAGGAACTGTTAACTCGTGCAGAGAGTATATGTGATTGTCCAACTTTTATCCAGCATTGTATAAAGCAGGTACAGAAAGCATTTACATGGGTATATGTCTTCATGGCTATCTATGATTTTATGAATATCAGTGTTTATTAGCACTAGCTGAGAAACCTGCTGATGTTCTGCACCTCGCTGGCTCCCATGCAGTCTTAGGTGGTCCAACAGAACTTAGCATTCTCACTGTCAAACTGCAAGCCACAGAGCAAACTCTGGTAATCGATGCCAGTGACTTAGACATTTTTACTTGCAACATATACTGCAGAAGTGGTCCCTGTGTTCCTACACACACAGCTGTAAGACAATGACCCAGCTCTTTTATTTGCATAATTCCATCCTGATATAACACCTTTGTACTGGATGGAGTTGTTTTGAGCTTATTCCAATGAAAGAAAAGGATTAAATCCTTGCGACAGTGAAGTACAATACTCTGCTCTTTCAGAACAGTCTACAACCTGATGTATTCCATTCCTCAGAATGGGGTGGAAGGGTATGTGATGAATGGTTTTATAGTAAAAGCACTTGTTCTGCTTAGTAGCTACATTCTGAACCGTGCCAGCAATAGCTCGGAAAGAGCCACTGCCTCCTTAGAGAAGCAGAAGCTCCTGCTCCTACCAAATCTCCCATCTGCTCTCAACAACTGCTTGCAGTCGGTATGGGGAAGGATGAGCTGGGGCTCATAGTTAAACATGCCGCCACTCAGCTGAGAAATGGTAGCTTGCTGCAGTCCCACGCATCTTCCTCCAAAGCAACTTAGGAAATTTGTCAGGAGAGTTTAGACTCTACTTTGCAGGAAGTGGGAGAATCTTACCATTTAAGAGGCAGCAGCTCCCAATTCCTACTAAGGTCATGTAGGTGGGAAGGAGGTCACAAGTTCTGTCAAAGTTGGACCCTACAGTAACTGAAATATCACTCCCTCCTTTCAGCACTGATCTGACTAGTAAATGGGATTTCCCTGCATGGCTTACAGCATTCTTATGGAATCGTTTCATTTATTCGTATTTATTTTTGTACATCTGACATTTAGTATAACCTTTTGCATCCATTCAATGCTCCACCGTCACAGGCTTTTTTCATTTCTCCTTCATTACTGCTTCACCTACAGCAAGAAGGTTTTTAATAGCTTCTTCTTTCTATTTATTTTGAATTCTCCCTTTCCAGATGCAGATAAAACTAAAACACTATCATTACTAGAGGTGTAAGTACTCCGTATCTCCTGCTCACACGTACAGAGGCACAGTCTTCCTCTTAGGAACATGGATATAGGAGAGATCAATACTGTCAGGAGCTGTAAAAGTTCGTGACTTACGTTGACAGTTCCTTGCGTTAAGAGCATCGCCAAAATATCCATCAGCGCACCTCTCACAATATTGGCCTGTTGTACCTGGCTTACATATCAGGCAAGCACCAGACAAGCTGTCACAGCTGCCAGGAACGGAGAAGTCAAGGTTGTCATTACACTGGCATGGCTGGCATGATCCTCCTGGTATTAGAGGTTGTCCAAAATAGCCTTCTGCACACCTAAGGTAAAAGACATCACCAGTTAGGACCCTTAAATAATCCTCTTAGTAGAAATATTTAATTTCGTTGCCTCACTAATCACCAAAAAGGATTTGATCTTCTTTCAAGTATTTCTTAAGCGCGTTTTCTCTCTCTCCCTCCTCCTTTTTAACAACACTGTAGATACACTACCAGCTGAAATCCTGCCATTTCTGCTAGTAATTAGATTTCAGTGGGAGAAAAATCTTGTCACTGGCACTGAGGACGAGACAAAGCATAATAAGAAATCTGTCTATTGGCACACTAGAGGAATTCAGATCCATGTTAGATAGGCTTTGTATTTCAGCACACCATGTCTACTGTACTCATTTACCAGCAAGCTTGATGATTTTTTCCCCTCTACCTTAAAAACTTGTTTAGTTTAGAAAAACAGGTTTAGAAAACAATACAGACATGAATTTGTTCACTTAACAAGGTCCTCCCCTGATCTATTGCCTGGTCAAATTTGTTTAATCAACAGATTGCTAATCTCTGTGCATGGGCAGGTAACAGAAAGATTGCTCATTACCACAGGAACTATGTCAGTGTGAAATATGCGTCTCATTTTAACAGAGATGTTTAAAACTATCGCCTTCTTTTCCACCCTGACCACCAGCAATTACCTGTGAGTAAAATGTAAAACAGGTTAATGATTCTGACCTAACACAAGTGTGTATTTGAAGCAAATTTCTACTCATCTCACAGCCTATTTCCTATTTATATTCTGGTCTGCTTTCCCTTTCCATTACATTTGCTCACACTTCACAGTAAAAGCAACTTGTAGATAGTCAAGAAAAAGAAAAATTGCCCAGTTCCAGCTAATTAAGTTATTCATGTGCATCTCAGATGAACTCCAGTTAGTGTAAAGGCAACAGAAAGTACCTAAAACACATTGCATAAATGAATGTTTTGTACTATTTTTAAGTCCATTTGAATGCAGTTCTAATGTACATAGATAGCCTCTCTGCTTTGCAATAGTACTGGATGGTATGGCTGAGCAAGGATTTTAAGTACCATCCTAATATGGGAATGCAGAGCTCCACTGTGCTTTCACCCTTATCCCTCCTCATCAATTTCATCCTTTTCCTTGCATCCAGAGGAGCTCATGAAGCTTCCAGCTGGATCCTAAACAAAGCCATCTAAATATTTATTAAGTATTATTCACTATCATTAGCAAATATTATAAAAATGGGCAACTGAGACTAAGGAGGAGTTGGATCTAAAGGAACACTTTCTTGTAGTACAATATTACAAAAAGTAGCGTTTCTCCATACTCCAAAAATACCCAGTGCAGATCACAGATGAAAACAACATATAAATAGGTTTGGGTGCACGTAAGCACTCAAGAACATGAGTAAAATTTTCACGATCTAGCCCACTGTGCTTCCCTCCTTTAGCATAGCTATCTCTCACAAATACCTCCTCATAGCAACCATACATCAAAAACTTGTCATTAGAATAGTTCAGGCATTTTATTTTCACAACATGTCACAAATGTAGCCATGTATTGTACCTCCCTGTATTCCCTGCAAAGAAACGGTTATTTTTCCTTAGATGGATGATATCTCAGCAATCACAAAAGAGTGATTTTGAGCTTAATTTCACCAAAAGAAGTTGGCTTTCTTCAGCGATGGTAGCTCAGTTAAAAAGGCCAGGGTTGTCTCCTAATACATGTGTCAAATAATAGCCATGTTTTATCAAAGCCAAAGAGTAACTGGATAATTCAAGCAGTTATGTTATTTTACCTAAAATGGATGATGTGTGAACTTCACCCATGCTTTGGTGAGATCTTTGTCATTTCTCACCGGTGTATTTGTCATAAATCTGTACTTTTTGGTACTACTAATCTATTTGACTTCACTTGATGTGTATTCACTTTCCTCTTTTACTTTCATTTAGGGGTTAGTTCTGTATCTGATAGCTTTCACAGAAATTCAGCAAGCAGTTCACAGCAAAAAAACACACCAGGGATTTGTGAGGCATGCACTGCTAATCATTTCCTTCTATTAATAGCAGGAGACCTGGTATACCTCTTTGTATTCTCATCAGTTTAGACTGCTAATTAAAACTATGAAAACCCACTACCATCATACAGCTATGTTCTACTTGTATACGTACATAAGCCCAAACCCAGATTTAATCCTGAAGGTAGGAGTAAACCAGTTACACTTAAAAGAAAACTGAGTATCTATGTGTATATTCTTCCACCTTTTCTCCCACTACTGAAGTTGCAAGGGAAGATTAAAAAAAAACAAAATCCACTTTCTCTAATTTCATCTTTATTCTCTTAAGGACATTTCTACTTCAGTTACTCTTCTGAGGTTCAAAGCATTACATGTTCAGCAAAGTTCACACCAAAAAAAACCAACCCAACCAACCAACAAAAAAACCAAACCAAAAAAAGAACACAATAATGTGTGTGGCACAGAAAAAACATTTATGTATTACACAAAATACATAACTAAATAAATGACTGCTGAGTACAACAGAACACCTCTGAGATGAAAAAATAAACAGAAATAGGAGTAAAAGCAGTGAAGAAAGATTGTTTCCATTTTTTTCTTTCTTCCTCTACACTCACCTTGGCCCTCAAACACAGGTGTGTCTGTGACTGACACTTTTCATTTGGCAAAACCAACGTCAAATACAGGGCTACTATATAAATATGTTTATGTATGTGTACTGGGGTCTTGCTTGGATGGAGTTAATCTTCTTCATAGTAGCCTGTATGGTGCTGCATATACAACCATATATGCACACAAACACAGGCCTGTTTTATACATTTCTTTCTATTTACTGGGTAAACCAACCAAACAAACAAAAACAAAAAAAAAATTTGAGACAGTTAATTTAGGCTGGAAATCCAAACACTTTAAAGTGTGGAAATACTATTTTTATAGTTGCTTTAAAACTTATGTGCATTCAACCTATGTATGCAATCAGGCAAAAGCCCTGTGGAGAAATAGCCTGTGAACATGCAGTTAAAACCCTTAACTCAGGTGCACACCACAGATGTTACTGTTGTGTGACCAACTATAAATCTTGAATTTTCTAACCTCAGAGCGCCTACCTTTGCAAGCTGTAAACAACCCTGTTTACACATTTGTATCAAATGTGAAACCCTGTGAACACATTTGTATCAAATCTCCCCGAAGTTTCCAATCAGCACTGCAATAGAGACTTGTACTTCTGGCACTAGAGGAAGAATTATACTAGCTAGAAGGAGCAGCACGTTGAAGCCAAGGCACTCAAAAAGGACCGTGGCTGGTGGCACTCTTTGCTAGAACTAAAGAATGGGGATAAGGACACAACCCAGCTCATCCTTTTCCTCCCACTCATGTTACACTGACTTCTCATCTCCTTCTAGGAGGAAAAGGTCACTGGAACCACATTCATAAATGAAAGAGCATTACAGGAGAAGCTAGAGTCTTGCCCATTTTGCTTCCTTTCCCTAAAACTGTGTGCTCTTGTCTATATCGAGACAGTGTAACTGGCAAATGCGTATCACCGTCCTGTAAATGCGCTGGGCTCGAAGGACAGCTTTTTGACATTCACATACACCCTTTCTATGGAGTTAGGAGAGTGTCTGTCCTACCTCATACCCCTTGGGAAAGTGAGCAGTGAGCAAAGGAAGAACATAAACCTAATATTCTTGAGAAAAGGATTAAATGGGGAAGCTGGGCTTTGTCTACAATTACAGGTATGTGTTAACTCCAAACCCCATTTATATCTGCAATTATTTTGATGTTGTCATGAGCTGGGTCCCTCAGAACACAGCACTTCAGGCAAAATTTTCCTGAAAAGTTCAGTGAGAGAAGTAGCCTTTTCTTTTTCCATTTTACAACTCCTATTAAAAAAATAATTAAAAAAAAAATAAAATAAAATATCTTATCTCCCTAGAGGGTAGAGGATGATTTTGGAGGCCAAAGGACAGTACTGTGTATGCTCACTTCATGATACTTGGTACTTCAAGATAATTTAGTACTGTTCAGTTAACGAATCATGTGGCTCAGATCACTTGCCACTTTGCAGTTGCTAAAATGAAAGAGAAATTAATGTAAACTCTTCTAGCAATTATACAATCCATATTCATAGAAAAAGGCAACATACTTGCCCTGGTTCATTATTATTGACAGCTGTGGGCATTTCCAATCAACTTGTTACAATTAAAAGTAAATAGTTCTGTGAGCACTGGAATTAATGACCTAATTTCCAATCGTGGAATCACAGAATGGTTTGGGTGGGAAGGGACCTTAAAGATCATCCAGTTTCAACCCCCCTGCCATGGGCAGGGACACAATGGATTTATATCTCATAGTTACAAGGCTAAGAGCTGATTATTTGCTGCAGGATGTTGCTATTCATCAGGGAGTAATCCCTCAGGCTACACAGCACTGCTTTTTCCTTGCCCTGTGAAAGTTTTCTTACGGGCAGAACATTTAATAATCTCTCTCTGTCTCTCTCGTTCTCTCTCTCTCATGTATTCTCTGCTGTTTAATCAGGTGTGAGTTCACACAGTGTTCTCTCCCTTAGCCATGACGTGTCCTGATCTATTAACCTCTATTCAACCACTTCTTTTCACGAAACCCTCAGGAACAATTATTATCATTGAGACCTCCTACCCTTCTGTCAGATTTGATTGAAATTGACCTACAAGTTCAAATGTCTTTGCGGGCAGCCAGAAAGGCATGCACAGAAAGATCACGCTAGCCTCATTTCCTTAGGAAATCAGGCTAAAATCCAAGTCTGCCAGTTCGTCATTTTCTGTCCTACTGCATCTACAGCCTGTGCTCCACTCAGAAATAGCACTTGTTGCTAATGGAAGCTGTCAATGACCCTTCATTGACAAACTGCCACCAAAGTGCTCTCGATGTGATTTATTCTTGCCGTCATTAACTTCACAGCCCACTAGCTGAAAGAAGGTGATGACTTCCAAGACAGACAGGAAAAGACAGGCAGAAATAGCACACAGCAGGAGCAGG